AATGGTCCGATCTCCACCATCCTTATAACAGGTCTTTTGTAGATGACAATATTGAAAGATACCAAGTCTAACTGGAATCGAATGTTAATTCCGAGTTTTATGAGCTTCATGGGTATTCAAAATGTTCACCCTTTGTGGGGGAGGTACCGGAAGCAGAAGACCGATATATCCCATCTTCACAGCAGATCTTGTGTTAGTAGAAATAATGTGATGTGTGAAATTTGTAGAGAACTGGAAGCTTATCTCGGTTTTTATGATCGTTTTTGTTATTCAAAATTTCTACCCTTTGTGGAGGTGGTACCAGAAGAAATGGTCCGATCCCTCCCATCGTTATACCAGATCTTGTGTTGATGGAAATATTGAGTTGTACCAAGTCTGAATGGAATCGGATTTAAATTCCGCGTTTTATGAGCTTCATTGGTATTCAAAATGTTCACCCTTTGTGGGGGAGGTACCATAAGGAGTGGACCGATACATTCCATCTTCACAGCAGATCTAGAGTTAGTAGAAATAATGGAATGTGGGGAATATGAACAGAATCGGATGCTTATTCCGGATTTTATTAACGTTTTGGTTATTCAAAATGTTGACCGTTTGTGGGGGAGGTACCAGAAGAAATGGTCCGATCTCTACAATCTTTATAACAGATCTTGTGTTGATGGAAATATTAAGTTCTGCCAAGTGTGAATGGAATCGTATGTTAATTTCTCGAATTATGAGCTTCGTGGATATTCAAAAAATTCATCCTTTTTTGGGGAGGTACCAGAAGGAGTGGACCGATACATTCCATCTTCACAGCAGATCTTGTGTTAGTAGAAATAATGGGATGTGTGAAATATGAAACGAATCGGATGTTTATTTTGAATTTTATGATCGTTATAGTTATTCATTTTGGCCCTATGTGGGGGAGGTACCAGATTTATAACATATCTTGCGTTGATGGTAATATTGAGGTGTCTGAATGGGATTGGATGTTATTTTCGCATTTTATGAGCTTCATGGAAGGAGTGGACAGATATTGTTAATTTTCGCACCTGTCCTAGCACTGATGCAAATGTAGGAATTTGCAAAGTTGGAGCAAAGTCGAATGGTCTTCTTATAGAAGATGAAAGGTCCTCTTATAGAAGACCAAAAGGACAAATTGGGTTTCTTATAGGAAATCAAAAAGTTTTTTTTTAGGAAATCAAATCTTTTTATAGAAGACCTAAAGGCCGGCTCATAAAAGGCCAAAAGGTCCTTTTATAGAACACCATAGACCCAAAAGGTCTTCTTATAGAAGACCAAGGGGTCTTTTTTATAGGAGACTGAAGAGGATTCAATTTTTCAGATTGTCTAAATACCTTCTTCTCATAATAGAAGACTTTTTACGACCTCCTCCCAATTCTCCAAGAAATGCTGTTGTTAAACATTTGCAATGAATCATGTCCTCGTTGGAGTAAATATTTAAACAGCACTTCCAGAACCAGAACAACAACAACTTTACAACTTTAAACAGATGAGTTCTTCGAGAAAATAATTTAATTGTAAATAAACAAATCGCCTCCTCCTCCTGCCTGCTCCGTTTCACATTAAATTAATTGCAACGGCGTCCAGTCTGGCTGATGAATAGACATCAGTCTGCCTGCTCTGATATGGTTATCTGCTAGTTTGCCTGTCTGCCTGCCTGCCAGCTAGTCAGTTGCCTTTGTGTCGGCCTTATCTGCCCACCAGCCGTAACAGTTCCGGCCTATTGAACACTTTAACACTTCGTTACGAATTTAATGCTAAATTTTCAAATGAATCTGTTGTAGTCAGTCAATCGTCAGGATGTGGCACTGAATGTAGTTTCATAGCACTGTGCCAGGGCCAAACAAAGGCAGCTCTTTGTTTTGTTTAAAAACGAACGAATTTAAACTGAGCAGAAACCCCATTTGCCCCGGTTCGGGTGCAATAAGGAAGTTTAGACAAAAGAGGAAAACTCGCAAAATGGAATAGTTCGAAGACAGATAAGTTAAGGGGTTATAGCTGGAGAAAGAAGGGAGAGATTTTAGTCAAAAGTTAAAAAGCTGTGGTTTACATGTTTTATTTGATAAAATTACTGAATCAATAAAGGATACTTTTGTCCTTCTATCCTTGCTTCAGTTCTATTACGGCTACATGTCAGAATTTTTTTTAATTTATATAATAACTTTTTTTATACCCTCAGCCATATAGCTAGAGAGGGTATACGGCCAAACTATGCCTCATCGAAATAACGATTTTAGAACCTAGGTTTGGACCATATCCGTTACCAGACGTTTGGAATCGATCTAGAGATGTCCGTCCGTCTGTCCGTCTGGTGCGCACGATAACTCTCGAAGTGAGTATCCGATTTGGTCCAAACTTGCTGCATCGCAATATTTTATATCAAAATTAGATCGAGTACGGAGATGGACAATATCGGCCCACTTCATAAAGTACCTCCCGCACAAGGGGTCCACTTCATAAATATCTCCCGCACAATACAAAACATGTTGTAAAGATTGTAGAGATCGCACCATTTCTTCTGGTACCTCCCCCACAAAGGATCGAAATTTTTAATATCATGGCGCTCGAAATCAACTTTCGACTCCATTCAGACTTTGTACATCTCAATTTTTTATCAGCACTGGATCTGTTATTAAAATGGTAGAGAGGGAACCCTTCCTTCTGGTACCTCCCCCCTACAAAGGGTCTAAATATTGGAAAACCAAAGAGATCCGAAATAAGCAGCCAGTTCTCTTCGTATTTCATAAATCCCATTACTTCTGCTAACACATGATCTGCTGTGTAGATGGAATATATCGGCTTACCCCACAAGGGGTCCAAATAATGAATAACCATGAAGCTCATAAAACGCGAAATTAACATCAGATTCCATTCAGTCTTGGCACACCTCAATATTTCTATCAACAAAAGACCTGTTATACAGGGTGAGATGAAAAAACTACAACCAACTTCAGACTGCTGTTACTTCTAAGCCACTCGTCCGACAGCTGTTCAAATTATTCCAGTGACAGCTCATTATATTGTTTACAAGCGTACAAAAGCATTTCGGTGAGAATTTTCCAGGAAAAAAGTTATTCGTGATGGAATTCAAGCGTGATAGTGTGATTTCTTTATATTTGGCTGGAAAACCACAAGTGGCTATCGCTGGAGCACTTCAGCATTTAAATGTGAATAAATCTTTCGGGTCTCATACCATCGCTCGTTACAGTGATACTGGTAGTGGTAGCCCGACGTCAAGGAAGTGGACGAAAGAAAACAGCAACATCAGCAGAAATGGTTCGAAAAATAAAGAAGCGACTTGATCGATACCCGCGTCGCAGTGCCCGAAAAATGGCTCGTGAGCTGAACTTATCGCAATATTACATTCGGCGAATATTAAAAAATGAGCTCGGGGTGAAGCCATTGAAATTTCAAAAAGTGCAAGAACTTACACCGCAACAGAAAGAAAATAGACTCAAAAGAGCTAAAGAGTTGCTTCGCTTGGCCGAATGTGATAACCTGCCGAATTTGGTTTGCAAACAAATAAAATGATCGTGATTACTTGCCAATGAGGTCAGCTGAAAATGTGCACCTTCGGTTGGCCACCAGAACTCAAGCGCCGGCCATGGTGATGGTGTGGGCCGCCATAACAGCCGATAGTCGCTCTCCGCTCATATTAATCGACCGTGGCATCAGAATAAATGTCGAACAATATCTCGAAAATATTCTGGAGGGTGTATTAAAGCCTTGGGCACGCAAACATTTTGGCCGCAGACCTTGGACATTCCAACAGGACTCAGCACCATCGCACTCAGCACGCGCCATCCAAGAATGGTTACAAAATTAGGCTCCTGGCTTCATTTCCAGCGCACAATGGCCACCAAAATCTCCGGATACCAATCCGTTGGACTGTTGTGTCTGGAGTATTTTGGAAAGCAAGGTTGGCTCTAAAAAATACCAGTGTCGATCACCTCAGGCAAGTGCTTCGCCGGGAATGGGTTAAAATACTGCAGAGTAACATTCGGGTTGCGTGTGATGGTTTCATTGGCTGCTTGAAGGCCATAATTCGTGCCAAAGGTGACCAATTCGAACAAATCTAAACTTATTCTAAAAATTGATGCTATTTCCGACATTTTTTCCTTTCATTCAATAAATTAAAAAAAAAAAATTAAAAATTATGGGGTTTGACTTTGTTGAAGATTTTTCATCTCGCCCTGTATCTGTATGGGATGAAGTATGAAAATGAAATACTTCGGTAGACTTCATCTGGTACCTCACGCACATTTTTACCTCTTCTGAAAATTATTGCATACCTTAAATTAAGTGAAGGAAGTAGTCGATATAGACCAAACCAGGAACCTCGCTATATTTATATCATAATTGTGTAGGTCGGAGAGGAAATGGAAAATATTGGCCCATTCCTTCGAAACCTTAACCTTAAAGGGTCAAGAATCAAGAATTTGAATAATCATAACGAAGTCAAAATATATTTAAATAATCGAACATTGGCTGAGGCTATGCATCTGTCGGCAAAACCGACTGATACTTGTTAACTTGTTTTTAAATATTCTGAGGGTCCTTTAGATTAGATTCTTTACATATTTTCTCAAGTAGCTTTAGATGGGTAAAAAAGTATATTAGTTCTAGATGTAAAATCAATCTCTTTGTACCGACTGTCCCTGAGGCCAAAATGTGGATCTGTTCTTTACCAATTTTCAAAGAGGGGTGGGGGTGTAGTAATTAGTTATTCCATATTTCTTTTGTCTTCATCAAAAGCACATTCTGCCTATATTCTTTGCAAAAAATACAAACGAAGTTCATTGAAATGTATAAAAGAAATATGAATTTTGAAATATCTGTCTCGCGTACCTCAAGTGGTGTTGACATAGCTGTTTCGAATTTCAATGGAACTTCCAACCAAATGTTGACAAATAATAAAAAAAACACAGCTTTTCTTTCTTTTTCAAATTCGTTTGAAATTTGTCACTCCAAATGTTATAGGCAATTTAGTTTTTAGATAGATGTATGGCATTGCAGATCGACAATGAATGGTGCTGTGGATATTCAACCTCTAAGTGAGGAATTGCAAAAAATTGCCATAGAAGAGCTGGGAGAGGTACCAGCAAGAATTCCTGATGATTTGTTGGCCCTTAAGACATGGATCGAACAGCAGCCGCATTTAAAGGCCCGCACCGATGATCAATGGCTGATACAGTATTTGAGGGGTTGTAAATACAGCCTGGAAAGGGCCAAGGAGAAATTGGATTTTTTCTATACCATAACCTCAAAATATCCCGAAATGACGGCGTGCTATGATTTGGATAATCCCAGATTTCGGGAGGTTCACAATGTGGGGTGAGAGGAAGATCTTGAAATATTTTTCTAATTTAAAAATAAAATCTCCCTTTCGTATAATTTCAGAGTATTTCTCCCCCTGCCCAAGTTGCTGCATGATTCCGGTCCCCGCCTCGTCTTCTTTCGCATGAATTACAACATCGACAAATTCCGAGTTGAAGATGTCATGTTGCCCTGTAATGTCATGCATCAGGTCATGATGCTGAATGACCCCCATGCCTGCATAAATGGCCTCTTCTATGTTGCAGATTTTAGTGGTACCGCCGGCCATTTCCTGCAATTCACTCCGAGTATCATAAAACGACAGGTGGCCTATTTTGAAAAAGCTCTGCCGTTGCGCATAAAAGCTTGGTGTTTCATCAATGTATCGGTGGTGGCGGAGCAGTTTTTTAAAATTATTCTACCTTTGGTCTCCGAGAAGCTGAGGAAGAGGGTAGGAGATAAAGGTTTTCTGAATTATCGAATCTCATAAAAAATTATGTTTTTCAGATTCACATCTACACCAAGGACTCGCTGCACAAGCTACAGGAATTGGTACCCCTTAAGTACATGCCCCAGGAATATGGAGGGGAAAATGGCTCTCTAGCCCAGGTTGCTGCCGATTATCACAAAGTCTGGGATGAATATCGAGATTATTTCAAAGAAAATGCCCAATATGGTACAGATGAAAGTTTGAGGCCCGGAAATCCCATAGATTTTGATAGCATGTTTGGCCTGTGCGGTTCGTTTAGGAAGATTGAAGTGGATTGAAATTGGAGGGGAGAAAATAAATTTGACAAACAAAAAATAAAATAAAGATTTTTCACAGGGAATCGGAAATTTGTACCAAAACTTCAGAAGGTGGAAAATTATACCAATTATGTTACCGTTGGCATTGGCCAATCTGAAATAATAGCAGAAAAAGGTGCTAAATGTTGCTAACTAAGGTACCATCGGTATTATATGTTCTATTCATGTATAAACAACATTTGGAGAAAAAAATTCAAAATCGTACATAAGAGTACAAATAGTGCCAAAAGGTTACCATTGGTATTGATCACTTTGAGATATTAGCTGGAGCTCTAATTTTTTATATGCAGAATTTGTATGTGATCTTGGAAATTGGTACTAAAGAGTACGAAAAGTACCAAATAGTAAAACTAGTAAAATATTAACTTTTTCACTTAAAATGTACACAAAAAAGTCAGAAAAAAGGTTTCGTCTACAGACCCAACTCCCTCAGTACGTCTCTGCTACCAATACCGGTGTTGTCATGTGTATACCCTCAGCCAATGTTCGATTAATTAAATATATTCCGACTACTGTTCCAAAGGAATGGGCCAATATTGTCCATTTCGTATCGGACTTAAATAAATATGACATAAATATTGCGACGTGCCAGGTTTGGACTATATATGAGATATGTGATATTTTTTAGAAAATGTCGACCGACCATTCGACCATTTTCACATTTCATCTAATACAGATAACAATATTGAAGAGAAATCGATGACTTGTTTCGCAAGTTATGACAGCTAAAAGTATTGAAAATTGTGACCTTTTGTGGGTGTGGTACCAGAATGGGTTCGCCAGATATACATCATCTAAAGAACAGATCTTGTGTTAGGAAAAATGTTTGTATGTGTGAAATTTGAAGAGAGTTGGGTGCTTATTTCGCTTTGTTTCTTGTTTATTCAAAATTTTTGGTTATTTAAAATTTGGACCATTTGTGTCGGAGGTTGAAGAAAAATGGTCCCATCTCAACCATCTTTACAACATATCTTGGTTTGATGTAAATATTGAGATGTACAAAGTCTGAATGGAATCGGGTGATAATATTGCATTTTATAAGCTTTATGGCTATTCCAAATTTTGACAATTTGAGGAGGAGGTACCAAAAGGAGTGGACCGATATATCCCGTCTTCACAGCATATTTTGTATTAGTAGAAATATTGGGACGTGTGAAATATGAAGTATTTCGTATTTTATGATCGTTTTGGCTATTCAAATGTTGACCTTTTGTGGGGGAGGTACCAGTAGGAATGGTCCGAACTCTGCCACTTTTATTCCAGATTTTATGTTGATAGAAATATTGAGATGTACCAATTCTGAATGGAATCGGATGTTAATTTCAAGTTTTTTGAGCTTCATGGCTATTTAAAATATTAACCTCTTGTGGGGGAGGTACCACAAGGAGTGAACCGATATATCCCAGCTTCACATAAAAATTTAATGGTAGTAGAAATATTGGGATGTGCGAATTATGAAGTGAGCCGGATGCTTATTTCGGATTTTATAATCGTATAGGTTATTCAAAACTTTGACTCTTTGTGGGGGAGGTACCTGAAGGAATGGTCCGATCTTTACCATTTACATAACAGATTTGTTGTTGATAGAAATATCCTAGTGTGAACGGAATCGGATGTTAATTTCACGTTTTATGAGCTTCATGGATATTCAAAATTTTGACCCCTTGGAAGTACCAGAAGTAGTGGACCGATATTTCCCATCTCCACAGCAGATTTTGGGTTTGGTAGAAAAAATTGGATATGTGAAATATGACGAGAACCAGATGCTTATTTCGGATCTTTTGATCGTTTTGGATATTCAAAAATTTGACCCTATGTGGGGGAGATACCAAACGAAATGGTCCGATCTCTGCCATATTTATAACAGATCTTGTGGTGATAGAATATTAAGATATGCCAAGCCTGAATGAAATCGGATAATAATTTCGTGTTTTATGGGGTTCATGGATATTCAAAATGTTGAACCCTTGTGGGGAGGCACCAGACCTTCGGTTAATAAATAAAAAAATATTGTGATATGTGTAATTTGAAGACAATCGGAATATTAAATCACATTTTTTAAGAGTTATAATTATTCAAAATTTTGACCCTTTGTGGGGGAGGTACTGGATGGAGTGGACAGATGTTGTCCACTTCTGCACCTGACCTAGCATCGATGCAAATATTAGGATTTCCAAAGTTGGAGCCAAATTGGATTATCCTTTCTCTTCCTGTGCAGCAAAATATATTTTTGAAGTTTTCGACTATTTATGGGGGAGGTACCAAAAGGAGTGGACCAATATATTCCATCGTCACACCAGGCCTTGAGTAAATAAAAATATTGTGATGTGTGTTATTTGGGGATCGTCTATTTTCGCAGCCGACCTAGCACTAATGCAAAAATTATTATATGCAAAGTTTGAGCAAAATCGGACTATCCTTTCCCTTTCTGTGCAGTTAAATTATTTTTGAAAATTTCGACCTTTTATGGAGGATGTACTAGAAGGAGCGAACGGACATCGCTAGGTCGACTCCAAATGTCCTGAAACAGTATTGGTCCCAAGAGGATCTAAAACCGTTATTTCAATGGGGCATGTTTTGTTCGCATCAAATGATATATACCCTTTCTAGGTATAAATATTACTATATCCTTTAATCGAGTACCTTGAGGCCACACATACTAAATTTTGAATAAAGTTCCTATGTGATTGGAAATTTACAATAAACGGACACTGAAGAAAGCATTGGTATTGAGTAAGTATAATTATTATTCCAACGATCGGAAAGAGCACTCGGTTTAATTTATTTTTTTGCTCTTTTGCATATTTTGAACAACATCGGATGATACTTTTTGAAGTAAAATATTTTCCTTGAAAATGTTAACGTTTTGTGGGAGAGGAACCATTAGGAGTGGACTGATGTTGCCCATCTCCGACCTCGATCTAAGTTTTATAATAATATTACGATGTACCAAAATTGGACCAATTCGGATCCTCCCTCCCCTCGAGAATTATCGACCCCACAAAGCCCTAAAACAAATTTGGTCCTGTGAGACCTAGGATCTAAAATAGTTATTTTGATGATACGCGTTTTGGAAAATCTGTAGGGCCTTCTAACCACCTACTCATACCACCCTCCAGTTAAAACTGCCTTTTGGGCGTCGTTCGCTCAGCATTCACCCTGAAACATGAAAAGTAAAAATCCAAAACACACACACGAAATATGCGTGCGTGTAAATGCGTTTTACAAAGCCTTTCCGAAATAAGCAGTACTTAATGGACATTGTCTACGGTATGAGGAGGTACTTGATGACACTTGTCTTTCTCTCTCTCTCTCTCTCTCTCTCTGCCTCTCTTGTCCTTATGCATTCAATGTTTCTACCTCCTATGTCTAGCTACTATTGAGGTTTCATTACCTCCTCCTTCCTTACCGCCACCATCGAAAAAAAAACAAGGCAACACTCAAGTGTTGTCATTGTCAGTGATTTGTTGCAATTGTTCTTTCAGTCTGTCACTTGATTCGGTTCTCTACGAGTGTACCGTTGTGTGTGTGATTTTGCGTCACTTATTCTTTTTTTTTTTGGAATCCTACAGACTGTGAAGGAAGTGTAGACAAATGCGCCACAACATCATGCAACAACAAAAGAAGGATAAAACGTGTCTTGGGTACATTAGCGTGTTATTGTTTTCACACATTTTCTCCATTTTTCGAAAAAAAGCAACAACAAACAACAACAATAAATACGTATATGAAAAATAAACGAATTTTTAAATTTAACACTTGTTCGTTTTAGTTTAATGTCATGCCAACCGTGGCATGTCCATCCATCCATCTTTCTAGGCTAGGTTAGGTTGTGTTTACCATTTCCAAAGACAGTTGGTGTTTTTGAGGTGCAATGCTGAAGATATTTTCGGGGATGTGGACTGTGATTCGAGGACTATTGGGTGGCGAAAGAATGGAACTTTTAATGGTATTTTTTTCAGGGACCAACCATAGCTCAAAGAGTGGCAGAGGACCAACCGAGCTTTTGTAGCTCCAATTTTTGGAAAAATGGATTTTAAGGAGTATCAGAGCCATGAAGAAAATTTTGAAGGAATAGCTAAAAATCTTGAATTTTTATGTTAATTCTCTAAAGAGCTGAGACACAAAACCTATGTTTTCGAAATTTCTGTAAAGACTTACAGGACGTGGATTTTTTAAGGGCATTTCCCAAGGACCAAAACGTCGAATTTTTAAAGAAATTTTCCCTAGTGATCAAAACGAGGATTTTTAAAGGAAATTTTCCCAAGGAGCAAAACGTGGATTTTTAAAGGAAATTTTCCCCAGGGACCAAAACGTGGATTTTTAAAGGAAATTTTCCCCAGGGACCAAAACGTGGATTTTTAAAGGAAATTTTTCTCAAGGACCCAAATGTGGATTTTTAAAGGAAATTTTCCCAAGGGACAAAACGTAGATTTTAAATGGATATTTTCCCAAGGACAAAAATGTGAATTTTTAAAGGAAATTTTCCCAAGAACAAAAATGTGAATTTTTAAAGGAAATTTTCCCAAGGACCAAAACGAAGATTATTAAAGGAAATTTTCCCGAGGGACAAAACGTGGGTTTTTAAAGGAAATTTTTCCAAGGATAAGGAAAGATGGATTTTTTAAGAAAAATTTCCCTTGGACCAAAACGTGGATTTTTAAAAGAAAATTTCCCAAAGACCAAAAGTTGGATTTTTAAAGGAAATTTTCCCAAGGACCAAAGTCCTGGATTTTTATAGGAAATTTTCCCCAGGGACCAAATCGTGGATTTTAAAAGGAAATTTTCCCAAGGAACAAAACGTAGATTTTAAATGGAAATTTTTCCAAGGACAAAAACGTGAATTTTCATAGGACATTTTCCCAAGCACCAAAAGGTGGATTTTTAAAATAAATTTTCCAAAGCACCAAAGCCATGGATTTTTAAAGAAAATTTTTCCAAGGACCAAGGACGTGGATTTTTAAAGGAAATTTTCCCA